AAAATCCACTATATTTAAGTCGTTAATCTTGCAATACTAAATTTCTGCTTGCTCGTAGAAGATATCGAATGATGTTTAATCATGTATATTTTTCGCCGCATCGATCATATTTGTGTCCTTGTTGAATAGGATAACTGCTGTGTTGAAGGTACAAGTGACTACAAATTGGGCATCATTTATGTATATTATAGATGGAAGCTTTCAGGCAAGCTCCGAATGGACTGGCAAGTCACAAAAGTGGCCGAAACTTTTCTGACAATCTATTACCTACCTTAGTGCTAACCATTTTCAGAAGGATTTCTAAGGCTTCATTATTCGTAATAGTTCTCAAAAAAATGTCAAACCAAACTCAATGTGAACTTCTTGGTAGCTATCGTCGTTAAGAGGAACACAAAGTTAATTAATAGTAAAGAAATCCAAAAAACTCAAAAGGAGGCAATTGCAGTTTTTAGCAGTTCTTAATCTCCTTTGTCGAAGGAGCGAAAACTTTCTAAAAGATGAATTCATTATTAACATCTTGCTACTGACCGGGTAGTCAATCTGATTGCATGAACGCGATGGAGTGGATGATTGAATGGAAGTCTTTCTAGTTGGCCACGTTATTCCAGCAGAGAGATCAGCAGGAGCGATCTGAATCACAGGTATTTATATGTGAAAAGCAGAAAGTTTATATGAATGTGTGCTAGTACGAATGTATGTATGAGTGTTTTCATATATGGATGTTCTGAAACAAACTTTTTTTGAACCGACAAAGGTCCAAGCTTAGCATACATATATTTTGGAACTGGATGGGAAACATAGGCTGCACTATAACCTAGTAATTAGTTTGGTAACGTTGTTTCGTGATTTCCCGCGCCGAATCATTTCATTTGTTTGAGAGTGAAATAAAGAATTATCACTCGTCATCAGACCAGTTGAAGAAGATCATGTAAATGCATGCAGTTTTGTAAATAAAGAAGCGGAACGGTTGCTTATATGGACTAGCGATAAGCAGTCAGAACGAAACGATGATTGCGGAAAGTGCAACTAAATTATGTGTATGAATACTTTCGTTCAAAGTTAATAGAATGGAAAAGCTATTGGCTTTCTACGTTGCTGTTACAGTGTATTCAGATGCATTTGATAATCACAAAAAACTACAGGCTCAACCAACTTTGCCAGAACTTGATATTGAGAAGGGAAGGAGAAGGTGGAGAGGATACTTATATGTTCGCCACTTTCTCACACTTCTGCTTCCTTTCTAGGACTGCAATTTATTAATCGTTTTGTTTGTCATTGAATTAACTTTTTTGTGATGTTCAATAACATTAACCTGCATGCGTCCGCACGACATAAAATTTAAGCAGGAGTTGGACAGAGTACGGATAGCAGACGAACGCAGAGTTGATGATAGCGATAAAGTCTCACAGCCACAAAGTCTGTCTTGAAGGTGTTATCTCAGGATTTTATACAAGCGAGTAAACTGAGTATGCTCTTTATTTTGGTAATTATCAATTCATTTCAGAGTTGTTCGCAGGTGCTACTTCAGAGCTTTGATAAAGTGATAATTAACATGCAGTACCTTGCAAATCATATCAGCTATGGGACCAAGCACTTCAGAATCGGTTCCTCGCCATTGTTTGATACGAATGATTTTGTCATTTGTTGTGAGCTGCGTGTCTTGTCCATAGCTCTTTTCGTCACCAGCCTCCACAACAAAGACATATGCGCCTATATCGTCTTTCAGCGCTTCCGCTGCTTCTTGGAAATCATCGCTAAATATTTGTATTTTGCTAGCATCTTAAACATAGGAAACGCTTCCCTTTCATAGTAAGTTTGAAAGAGATAAGAATTCTGTACTGATCTCTGATCTCTAGCATCAACAAGACATATTCTTCTTGCACTGTAGAAAACATTTCAAATTGTTTTGTGCAGTTTTAGCGTCTTAAATAGCGGAAAACAATAGAAAATTGAATAATTATTACATTTTAGTCAACAACCAAATAACGAAATAATATGTTTCGTATGTTACGCATGCTTGTAAACCAATATCGAAGATTCTACTCGTACCGCCCTACTAGGAAAATTATCAGACAAACCCTTTGCTTAGAAGCAAGACTGAAAGAGCAAGCTGAGGAGCTGTGCTAAGGAGATTGTATTAGAGTAATACACCTACGTGGATTGACCATTCTTGAGCAGGAGTACAAACTTTGGTACGTCTTCACTTCCCGAGATGAGTAGCTCACCAGCGACTTCTTTAAGGGC